GCACAACTGTCTAATACGTAACTTTCTGTAGATCTCTGTGTTTTCTTTGCAAGTACTTCTGTTTAGCTTGAGTCTACACAGGTGCATAAAATGTGCTAAGCGTAAACCGAAGGTTGAGAAAGTATTTGGGATCCTACTCGTTAGTAGTTTGCCCTTTAAAACTTCAGTGACTCAGTAGGTGTCCTGCAGCGACTTGTACAAAGAAGCCCTCATTAGACAATGGAGTAGCAACTGCCATTCCACCGATGGTTAAATTTCAAGATTTCAAACCACTTTTTAAAAAAAAAGTCAGAGAAATGGTGACAGCGGTGGTCCGACAATTTCCTTATCACAAGAGACCAAATACAGAACAAATGGATACAGTATGAAAATAATTCTGAGCGAATTCGCGGTTTACATGGAAGCAAGAAGGGGGGAGTTCGGATGGACAAGACTGCTTGCGGAAGAAAGGGACACGCCACGCGACGGCAATACACATTCAGTTATTTGGAGAGTGAGCGGAAGAGAAGAAGGAAGGTTGAAACAGCGTAACCGACTCAACAACGGCAAACATAATGCGACAAAACGGACACAAACATAAACTGAACGTTATCGCCTTTCCCATTGCCGACGTCTGGAGCAGAAAGGCATCAAGGTCCTACTTCGGAGTCTTTCACGCATGATGGTCTGCTGCCCTCGCCATATCCGTCTTCAAACAAGGGATTTTTCACCTCGAGCTCGCTGGCCTTCCATGAAAGGATACAAGCAAAGTTCAGATCTTAACTTGGCCTAACTCATTTGACGAACAGCTTACAGGTAATGTTAAGCGATTTTGCGTACATACATTGGCTTCATCAATGAGCCCCACAAAGCAAAGGGATTACAATTTTTAAATCGCTTGAAAAAATTTCGTAGAAATGCATTGAGCAGCAAATGCTGCATAAAAGCATAGAAAATAGTTGAAAGTACAAATAAGAAAAGAGCAGCATTTTTGTTACCAGTGGCATTGCTTGGATCGAATTCAACTAAAATAGTGTACATTTAAAGCTTTTGCTAAACTATATCAGTGTTCCCAACTTATTCAACATGTAGCCGAGACAGAACACTTCAATAAGATAATGTTAATCCGACAACTAAAATGGTTTCGTCTTGAATGCTGAGTCTACCCAACAATTCCGAATAGGCCAGGTCTAAGCCGATGGCTGTAAACGGCAAGAAAACACATTCTGCCTCCATGCAATCATCTCGATACAGCAGCACTCAAAAAATCCCTTGAAACCACATGTATTTAAATTTTGTCCCTTTTCTATGCGGCAGACTTTCATTCCCGACATGGGAAGGATGAAGCACTGGCTTCAGATTATCGAGCTCTGAGTCTCAGCAGAAAACAAAACTACAGCCGGATTTAGTTGGTGGTCAGTGGACAAATAACACATTTTAAATTGACTATCAACCGTTTTCCACGCAAAGCGGTATTTTCTAACTAAACACTTTCATCAAATACTTTGTTAACCAAACGAACTTAAAAGACAAAATTTAACCTACTGTTGCCAACCCAGGACACTCGTAGACATTTACGTCCGGCTCTTCACCTTCACCCTCGCTACCCGAGTTGCTATCCGAAATGCGACTCTTCCCCGTCGCCCTTGGATAAAACGAGATGGAGAGATTCATTGGCAAAGTCAACAAAGTACACATGAGCATTAAACAGAGGAGATGCTTGGGCACAATGTCCAATGAGGATGTTGGTATGTGATTTTAATTACACTGGTTCGATGTTGCATTTTTACTGAAGAATGTAGAAATCGCTGTCAGATATAAATAAGGATGCGTAGAGTTTGCTACGACCCAAGCTACATAGATGCCATATCTTGAAAAGTGCACATGGGAAGTATCGTCTTCCTTGCGCCTAGAACAGTACAGTCTACCAAAAGTGGACATGCCTTGAAGCACTTTCGATTCCAAAACTACATGAAGTAATGACCAAAGATCATACAAAAATTGAGATTTTTTAAGGTCCTAAAATAGGCCTTTAAGCTTTGATACTTAGTCACAGAGTATAAAGTTAAACGCTACCGAGTCGCCATTTGCTAGCAATACCTTCAACTTGTAGTGCCAGCAAGACTTCCTTTGACATTAATCAGTTCATAAAAGATGGAAAATATACCATTCTAGAGCAAGAGGATAGCATTGGATTCGACCGAGAACAGGGACGGTTTGGTGTAAATTACGCTTACTCAGGTAACATTCAGGTATCCGCGTTTTTGAATAGGAAACAAGGAAGGAATAACTGGACTTACTGTTCCATTGCAAGCATCTGCTGCTTTTGTTGCTGATAGTGGTACATCTGTGCAGAATGGGCTAATGACCTGTCAGCCGCATGACTTAGGTCTCCAACGCTTCCTGGCTCCTTGTCCCCATCAGTAGAACCCACTCTCTCACCAAAGGCAGCTCTGTGAAGATGGAGTGTAGAGGAAGATTCCCAAGTCATGCATGCACAACAACAACCAAAGACGTTGCGTAATCTTATTTATGGGCCAACGGTGATAGGCGAAGCATTGGGATCAATACAATTCGAAGTAATTTAGTGGCCAAAAGATAAAGTGGTGCATGAAGGGCGTCCTTTATGTTCATTATCGAAGGAGCTATGAATCCTAATCCCTCGTTAAGGTATTAATACCCTTGCAGCCGAATAAGAGAAAGTTTGTAAGGATACATTACCTTAAATGTTAGCACTCGCCTAAAATGGGCTGCAGTAGTTTTTGGCCTACTCAAATGCACTCGGTAACACAAAAGAAACAAACTAGAGCATGGATAAAAAAATGCATGGGATTAACCTAAAAACTAAGAA